ATTTCAGTATCATCCTTACTGAACTTCTCTAGAAGTTTATCCACATAATGTGACTGACTTAGAGCAAGCCCATCTGATGTTCTTGAAATTTTGATTCCAAGTATTATATCAGTTAAACCCATATCCTTCATGTCAAATTTCGAATTTAATATATCTTTAGTGGATTTAATCATTTTATCCTTACTACTAACAATAAGCATATCGTCAACGTAAAAACATAAAATGACATAACCATTTACAGTGTCTTTAACATAAACACATTTGTCACACTTGTTGATTTTAAAACCACTCTCCATCAGACACTGTCAAATTTTTCGTGCCATTGTTTTTGTGCTTGTTGCAGGCCATATAATGATTTCACTAATTTACAGATTTTCTTTTCTTGTCCTAGAGATGAAAACCCCTTGGGTTGTTCTCCATAGATTTTTTCATCTAAATCTCTATCCAAGAAGGCAGTCTTAACATTCATTTGATGTACTTCAAGATTTCATAGAGCAGCAATAGCAAGTATCATCCTAAGAGATGTTATACTCGTTACTGGAGAATATGTATCAAAGTAATCAAGGTCTTTTCGTTGTTTGTAAGCTTTTATTACTAAACTGGCCTTATACTTTTCAATGGATCCATCTATTTTCATTTTCCGTTTGAAAATTCACCTGTAGCCAGTGGTTTAGTTCCTGGAGGAAGATCCACTAGCTCCCATGTATGATTTTGCAAAATTGAATCTATTTCACTTTTAATGGCCTCTTTTCATTGAGGTCCTTCTGAAGAGTTCACGGCTTCTTGATAGTTTTGAGGTTCACTTTTTAGCATCTATGTCAGAAAATTTGGACCATAAGATTTTTTTATCATTTTCCTTTTGCTATGTCTTGGTTCAACCTCAACCTCCTCTTCTAGTTCTTGGTCCTGACTATTTTCAGTCATAATCTCATATGTCTGTTTAGAAGAGCTTGCTTCATTTTTGGACCTGTATGGAAATACTTGTTCAAAGAACGAAGTATTTCTGGATTCCATTATTGTATTTTTATGTATAACTGAGATATTAGATTCATATACAAGAAACTGATAAGCACTACTGTTTTGTGCAACCACTTTAGCAAGATACCCCCATACTCGTAAGTATTTATAGGAAGACTTTCTTCCTTTCTATAACTCATAAGGGGTCTTTTCCAATTTCTTTCGGGGCACTTTATTTACAAGATAATTCGCTGACAACACAGCTTCCCCCCACATGTTTTGAGGTAACCCAGAACTTATTAGCATCGCATTCATAATTTCTTTTAAGGTACGATTTTTCCTTTCAGCAACACCATTTTGCTGCGGTGAATAAGGTGCGGTGGTTTCATGTATGATTCAGTGTTGTGCACAGAATTCAGCAAACGGTGCTTCATACTCACCACCTCCATCACTTCTCAACACCTTAATTTCTTTTGTTAAGTTGATTTTCAACTTCATTCTTATAAAGAATAAATTTCTCTATCGCTTCATCCTTATTTTTTAGCATGTACACATAGCAGTATTTTGTGTTATTGTCGACAAAAGTGATGAAATACTTGTTGCCACCTCTAGATTGTACAAATTTTAAATTACATATGTCACTGTGAATTAAATGAAGTGGTTCTGTATTTCGTTCAATTGATTTAAATGATGACCTTGTCAATTTTGCCTCAACACAAGTCTCATACTTATGTTTGGAATCAATATGAAACACGGGTATGCAATTCAAGTTAACTAGTCTACGTAAGTATCATAGTTAACATGTCCTAGTCTACCATGCCACACATTGGAAGACTCAAGCAAGTAAGGAGAAGAATTTACTTTATTCATTTTTAGTTTCACAACTATTACATTAAATTTAAATATACCATCGGAAACATAGCTTTTTCCGACAAACATTCCACTTTTTGATAAAACGACTTTGTTTGACTCAAATACAATACGGAAACCACGCTTATTTAAAAGCGACAAGGACACAAGGTTCTTGCGGATTTTCGACACATACAACACATTGTTAAGAGTTGCTCTTTTCCCGAAGTTATCTTCAGAACCACCTTGCCTTATCCGTTGATTTCAGAAGTATTTGAATTTTCTATAAACAACTTCCCTCCATTCTCAATTGATTCGAAAGCCATAAATAGTTCTTTATCAGAACACACATGCCTTGTAGCTCCGGTGTCAATCCACCACTCTTTTGGGTTAGAACCCACCATGTTCACTTCAAAAATAACGGCTGCGAGATTCATCTCCGACACATCATGTGCCATGTAATCAACTACATTTTTTTCTTTCTTCTTCTTTGGGAATCTGCACTCCGAAGACTTGTGACCTACTTTGTCACAATTGAAGCATTTTCCTTAAAACTTCCTTTTAGAAATTCCACATTTAAGTCCTAGCTTGGTCCATTTGCCACCGAATGACCCAGACTTAGTTTTGTAGGTCTTACTACTTTGACCATGCTCCACAACATTAGCTTTAGCAACACCAGGATTGAACA